GTTTTTTAAAAATGGTCGCCAAAATTTTAAAATGACAGTTAGGTTTGATAACCGAAATGTATGTTTCATTCATGGGATAATGTCGGCTACTATGTCAGATGCCATGTTCCATTGATCCATCCTGTCCCTGGTCAACTTTCCTTTCTCCCATACTTCTATTTATATTTTATGTATATATGTTGAATATTTAAAGTAATTGAAATGAAATGAATCGAATGTGACAATTTCTCTCAATTAATTTGTTGTTCAAATGTGTCTTTTTTCCAGTTTGAGTTACCGTGAACCTAACTAACATCAAAACAACACGAGTAAAACAACTGTGACGTTCATGGAACAAGCAACCATCTTTTTCTATAAAAAAAAAAAACAAGCAACCATCTAAAAAACATTGCTGGTTATGGATGCATGGTAATTAAGCATTTGATTAAAGAGTACGAGAAAAAGTGTAACTCAATTACTCAAACACAAATAAGTCAACTGATCAATGAAATATTTGAGCCTACGTTAATTGCGTCCAAAGACCATATACACGTACGATTATAAAAACAAAAGTTGGAATGTCACCGTTACCGTTTCTAGGTTCACCTTGTACCTCTAGCAAAATGGTTTTTAATCAAGTCAACTTCTTAAAAATACTTAACATTATATACTTAACATTCATACCAAAAAAAAAAAAACTTCTTAAAAATATATTATTTCAATAATAAAATTATATTGACAAATCATTTACGTTTTTATTAATCGATTAGCTAAAAATTATCAATCTAGCGTCGTAAAACAAAGAAACAAAGAATCTTAATTTTATTTTTTTAGTCTGTTCGTTTGACAACCGCAATAGCTTACGACTGTATCATGTGGCCAAATATTGTTCGTTTGTCTGCCGCAAATTCCTGCGACTAAACGATGCGGCTAGACATTACGTCTTGTGTCACGAATTTTTAGCCACAAAAAAATTTAACATCAGCATTTAAAAATTAGCGTCGCAACTAAAATTTCAGACGTATCTGTAGCGGTAGAAAAACGAACAGCGATTAGATGCTGCGGTTATTAAACAAACAATAATTACAGTATCTGGCTGCATGACGCAACCGCAAGCCGCTGCTGCAGCCACATGTGGCAGGAAAACGAACAGATGATTTATAAGAGCATCATTATCCATGAGATTTGGTGGGTATCATTAGATATAAAATTATTAAAATTTGAGTAAAATGAAGAAAGAGAGTGTTTTTGGTTGAAATAATGGAGTGTATTGAAATATAAAATTAATAAAATTTGAGAAAAAAGAGGAGATGAGTTGATACTTTTGGAGAGAGAATGTCTTTGTATCAATGGGTTGATATTTTTGGAGAGAGTTTAAACTTTAGTTGGGGTGTGTTTAAATATAAAATTAATAAAAGTTGAAT